AGTTTTAGGTGATACAAACAACCGTTAGGTGAACAAAACTATTATACTCTGTAGCAACAGGTTGCGAGAGTATAAAAAAAACCAGTGGTACCAAACTAATATCAAATATTTTTCTAGATAGATAGATAGATTAGATTAGACTCATCTAGCCCCAGCATGTTGATAAACTACAATATTCTGCTGGGTGCTAGTGAAGCGATGCGATCCCTGTTTGGAAACATGGATCCCATGGCCTTAATTCTGCGACTGCAGGCTGCTGTGCAGTCCACTAGCAGGTGTTCTGGGGTTTCCGGCTAAATGTCACAGAACCGGCAGTTTGCAGAAGAGGCTATGCCCATGTTGAATAGGTGCTTATTGAGCCTGCAATGGCCGGTGTAGATAGAACGCGACAGCAGCCGGAATTTGTTTCTCGGGAGATTGATTACGACTTTAAACCGTCTGAGGTCGTAACCCCCCATTAGCAACCTGGCATGGCGCATGCCTTGGAGTTGTTGCCAATGTCTCTCCATGCCTGCTCTTTCTTCCATACGGAGCAGCTCTTTAATGGTATGTGGACCAACGGCTACGCATGGTTCTGGTCTTACCATTTTTGTGGAGGCTGCAGAGCGCACCAACTCGTCAGCCAATTCATTCCCAGCTATACCCATGTGACCTGACACCCAAATAAGGGGCATTCGGTTGTTGTTTGATAGGCTGTTTAGTCGTCCTATGCACTCATGCACCAAAAGCGATCTGACCTCATAGGCAGAGATCGCTTTTAGTGCCGCCTGACTATCGCTGAGTATGGCGATAGTTGCGTTGGAGGTTTATCTCTACACACCGACTTATAGCACAGACTTCCGCCTGGAAATTCCTATGGGAATGGAGAGTTTGGTGCTTGTCCCAGCGACCCCTGCACCAATCCCCTCCGACGATTTCGAATCGTCGGTGTACCACTTGATAGTGCTTTCCCTTAGCAGCATGTTCAGCGATGAATCATTCCATTTCGCCTTGCTGCCAAGGGTAACTTTAAACTTCTTAGTGAAGCTTACTACTTTGGTAATGCTGTCCTTTGGGAGAAGGGCTAGTGGCTGTTCCTCACTTAGCGCCTTCATCTGCTGGGATGAGATTACCTTCCCTCTGCCAACTCCTTCTGCTGACATTTTTCTATAGGGCGCTGATACTATTTTGAACACAGCTGTACATCCGTTACCGCAACTAAACATGGAGGTCTCCAGATCAAGATATATATAGATATAGCCTCGGGAAACTTATAGTTTTCGAGATATTTTCGTTTAAAGTTGAAAATTTTAACTATTTATAGTATGTATTTTTTCGAATTAAAATGAATTATACACTTATATTTTTCAATTTTACGTCCACTAACACTTCACTAATTCGTTTTTACACATTTATTTTATATTACATGAGCAAAAATAGCTTTATTTCAATACTTAAATTATTCTTCAATTCTATTAAGTTTAACAATAACAAAAGGGTTGTAAATGTCAAATATCCAATGTTGCCATACTAATATATTTCGCAAACGAAGAAAAATAAAATAAAAAGAGATTATACCCAAATACAGAAATCATAATCGTTGATGGACACTAATAAATCTTTTAGTTTCCTTCACTTAATAAACCCCGATGTTGGATTGACCAGAATTATTTTTTAGAAGCGCGGCCGAAGGTTTCCAACGCTTAAAGAAGTCCTGCGCAAAAAAACCTTGGTGCACCCCGATATTGGATCGACCAGGGATATTTTTTTGAAGCGCGGCCGTAGCCGGCCAACACAAAAAGGAGTTCTACAAGAAAAAGTAACATTGTCATAAAGGGTATAACATAATCCTTAACATCAATGCTCTCTCTATTATATTTCATTTTTTGGGTACTATCTGTTTTCATTTCTTTCAGTTCATTTACAAAAGATGCCGATAAGGTAAAACTGGTTATTTGACATTTTGCAACCCTTTTGTTATTGTCAGACTTAATAGAATTGAACAATGATTTAAATATTAAATTAAAGCTATTCTTGCGCTATATAATGTACAAACAAAATAAGTGAAGTGTTAGTGGATATAAAAATGAAAAATATAAGGCGATAATAGGGAAAACTTTAGTTTAGCATCCCACGATTTCAGGGTTAAGAGGGGTATGGTTGGATAGAGGACTTCTCCAGATCACGATATATATAATTATTGCCGCCGGAAACTTATAGTTTTCGAGATATTTGCATTTTAAGTTGAAAATTTCACAAATTTTATTTTACAGTTTCTCGATTTATGGTTAACTTATCTTTTATATTATGCACTTATTATACACCAATACTTCCCTACAATGTTTCTACATATTTATTTTATATTATTAAATATTTAAATATTTGCTTTAAATAAGCATTTTATTTTTACACAATTTTCGTTATATGAACAATAACAAATGGGTTCCATGTTGTCAGATAATAAGTGTTGCCATATCCAAACGAATGAAAGCAATCAAAATAAATTAAAAAAAACCCAATTACCTTCTACAAAATATTATGAACTAAATTTTCCATTTTAATTAAAGAAAAAGGTTTTATGGCTTAAACATGTGTTTTATTGCATGTGATAATTTCACTAATGGATCATGATGCTGATTTGCTATATTTTTACGCCATATGTATTCATAAATAAAATTTTCAAAATCGTCAGTTATTATAATTATCCTTAATAAAAATTGAGGTTTAAAAAGAGTGATATACCCTCTTTAACATTACTCTTTTTTTGTTTACATGTCTTATTTGCACTGGCGGCCTTCGGCCGCGCTTCAAAAACATAACCCTGGTCGGTCCAACACCGGGGTCTTCATAATTTAATCGCGTCAAATTCCTTTCTGCACTGGCGGCCTTCGGCCGCGCTTCAAAACAATAACCCTGGTCGGTCCAACACCGGGGTGTTCATAATTCAATCGCGGCAAGCTTCTTTCTACATTGGCGGCCTTCGGCTGCGCTTCAAAAAAATAACCTTGGCCGGTCAAACATCGGGGTGTTAATAAATCAATCGCGTCAAACTCCTTTCTGCACTGGCGACCTTCGGCCGATTTCAAAAAAATAACCCTGGTCGGGCCAACACCGGGGTGTTCATAATTCAATCGCGTCAAACTTCTTTCCGCACTGGCGGCCTTCGGCCGCGCTTCAAGAAACTAACCCTGGCCAATCCAATATCATAATTTATCAATAGAAGGGAATGAACAAAATTATAGTTCATGAATTTGGGGTATAATTCTCTTTTATTGATCATTTTAATTCGCTTTCATAATATAAATATGTATATATATATATGATATGTCAACACTTGTAAGCTGTCAACATGGAACCCATTTGTTATTGTACATATAACGAAAATTGTGTAAAAATTAAATGCTTATTTAGCAAATACTTAAATATTTAATATAAAATAAATATGTAGAAAGATTAAAGTAAAGTGTTAGTGTATAATGATTGCATAATATAAAAGAAAAGTTAACCGTAAATCGAGAAATTGTAACATAAAATTTGTGAAATTATATTCGTGATCTGGAGAATCTCCTCTATCCAACAATACTCCTCTTAACCCTGAAATCAAAGGATGCTAAACTAAAGCCGACCCGTATAATATATTTTCAATCGAAAAATACGTACTTTAAATAGTTAAAATTTTTAACTTTTGGAAAGTTTTTTCTCACTATTTTTTTTTTATTAAAAACGTTAACTTATTTACTTTAATTATTATTTGACACCCTATATAAAACACACTGCTTTGTCGACATCAAATACAAGTTGTAAATGAATGTTGAAGTAAAGAACGATCAAAACAAAACTGTTTTTCAATTCTTGTTTTTACCACTGGTTCGCCATGATTTGCAAGCTTACAATACTTGTAGATATATTTTTGCTGTTAGGTACCGAGAAAGCAACAACTGGTCTACACGAACGAAACGTGTTCAAACACTATATACACTAAATGGGCCGGGGAAGACAGATGGTTGACTGAGTAACTGCATTACCTACACTGGATGGCATGACAAAAAACAGGAAAAACATTAACCCAAAGGAAGAACAATCACGCATGAAAATTTTTTTCTTCTGTTCAATGATGAGAAATAAAACTAAGAAAACAAAGCCTCACCTTTATTTTACATCAAAGGCTATTGCACTTTCTCTAAGCCACTCAATTTTGCTATTTTTTTATCTATATTTCAATGTAAAACTAATTTTTTTATTAATGTAAGACAAAACGTTCCTTCAACTCGAGACGAAAAATAATTCCTAATACTGAAAGGAAATGGCGAAAAGCAAAGTAAAAATCCTATTCTATCTCTTTCAAACTCTACTATTTTTTACCTTGTACAAGAAAGAGAAAAAACCTAACACAAAACTGTAGAAATTGTGAATGGGCAATCAAATCGACAGGTCAAAAAGGACAGTGATGCATTTGTATAAGTAGTCACAGCTAACATTGAATTCAGATATTTATTTCATTACAGTATACAAATTACAATATAATAGATCTACAATGCACTTTTTGCAATGTTGCTAACATTTTAAAGCTGTTACAAAAAAAAACCTTGCATTGACTGAAAGATATCTCCCAGCATTCATATATTGGATGGTAGTAATATATTTATATATATATATATATATATATATATTTTAATGAATGTACTTAATTTACTACCACCTTCATCATCTTTGACAGTTGCTCCTTATAAAACAACAATTATTTTTATTAATTGATGGAAGTGAACACTGTAACTTCAATATATCCACATTCTATATAAGTTGATGTCATGTAATAGATACACATAAAGTTAAAGAGATCCAGTGACTTCTTCAAATGATATGCATATTAATCTTAGTGAACAAATCAAATATATTTCGAAGGAATTCATAAAATAATTTGTGTATTAAATTATATAAATTATAGAATTCTATTTTCGCCTTTTAAAACGCCATTTATATCAAAAGTTGCAATACTGTCAATTGTCAATATTTGAACTTACCACAAGCAATTAAATATTTAAATTCTACCGCTGACGAAACATCTCTATTTTAAACAACTGTAGTGGGGTTTACTCAATATTAGAACGCATCGCTTTCATAGTTCTCATTCACAATAAACTTCAATACTGCACTAGTCTTATTATATGAGCATACAAAGAAATTTCGTTTACTTAATTTTTCACTATGTATGTACACAACTCACTTTTCAATTACTTCACTTTAATAAATTTTTTGATCTCAATAAAATTAGTAAACTGCATAATCTCCAAATGTGCTTGTCAACACAAGGCTTATTTGCACTTATCAAACACAATAGAACGTACTACAGATTCAACTCGAGCACTTCTTTTCTTTGGAGATTCATTCATTTCACTTACAAAAAAAAACAATCAAATGAAAACTTGCTGCTGACATGAATTTAGTTAACTGCATTTACAAATCTTATATTTGTTTATTAATCAACGCCAACTACGTTTACTTCTATTGTCTTTAGACAATAATCATTTCAACGATATTTTTCAATCACATTTGCCGATTTCCAATGTAAATTATAGGAGATATTAATGTCTTTACATTGTGAAAATTTGTTGACGACCAACACGAAATACGAAACTTTTCTATACTAGAGCAGTGCTGTCAAAACGCGTTCATCGGCTCAACGACCCGCCAGGAGAGAAATAACAATGTGCATAAGCAGGACAGCACTTCAACCGCCCACTCGTTGATGTCGATGCATTTCGTATTCGGTAGATTTTCGGGCTATCAATGTTGCCTATGTAATAAATACTGATGATCATATAATACGAACAAATAAAGTGATTATTTCCACAACAGTTGTCAATTTATGCATTCCGAGATAATAAATACTCTTTTAGGGAACTGTTTGTAATTTTTTAGTCAATGAAACTAATGCAAGACAGTTATGTACTTAATTTACCGCTTTTTCTAATTGTATTCTGCTGATGAAAGGGACAACTAATATTTTCTTTTTAAGTTTGGAGACCTTTAATTTCATAAATGAAATGTTACCACATCCAAGCTAACTATTGTGAACATTTATTTTAAAACCAGATGTGTAAAAAAAAACTTGACTTATTTACTATAATAATTGTTCATAAAATATATGTACAAAGGATTACAGTAGGGCTTTAAAATAAAAAAACTACACAACCAGAGGCAGAATATGAATATGAAGAACTATTAAATTATTCACGATATAAAACTCCTATTTACATGCATACATATAAACAGTCAAACCTGAGTAAGAGAGAACTGGGTAAGCGAGTCTCTATAAGTGAGAATAATTCTCAGGTCCCGAATTTTGACCACTCAAAAACCTCTATGAGTGAGAAACCAAAACCTCCATAAGTGACAGTCGTTTTTCCCACTCTGACCTCTATAACTGAGAACCTCTTTTGTATTTACCTCTATAAGCTACAATTTTCCTATTTATGTCTCATTCTTTTTTTCACGAATCAGGAACTATGTTGTTTTCTTTTAATTCAAAGATATAATATTTAACTGTATTAACTTAATTATCATGCTCACTGCAGTTCATAAATATTATTTAACACGAACAGTACAACTCTTACAACAACTTATAATACGAAATACGAAAAATCAACGTGTTGTCGTTTTAGTGAGAAACCTCTATAAGCGAGAAAAAAATCATGATCCCTTGAACTCTCTCTTAACCAGGTTTGACTGTATATATATATTTAATATTGGAAAAACTACACGTACAATTAAAAAATAATAAAGACAGGGTTGCATAAAATTAAAACAACAAAACATTTCTAGTAAGGCTGTGTGCTGAACGGTAACATTTTTATCTGTGTTGAGTTGGGGTGAAAAAAGTTACTATGGTGTAACCATTGCTGTGCAAAATGGAAAATGAAATTTTGACATTTGAAATTTAAGCCAAATGCAGTTGTGTCGTTTGAATTTTCGTCTTAGTGAATAAATTGTTAAATATATTCGCAAAATGAATAAAATTAAAAGTAAAAACTTTGCTTTGCTAATTACAATATTAATGAGACTATTAAAATGCATTAATTTGAAGATTTGATATTAATTGAGAATTTTAGATTTTTTTTTAAATGAAAAATCGATGCGCATATCTATTTAGATTTGTGTTTTCAATTTCAATGATATGACAGAATTTATAATTATGAAAAACCTTATGAATTAAAAAGGAGGATTACAGGCAAAAACCCAAGAATTCATAATAAAATAAACATTTAGTAGGCTATTTTTCTAACTTATGTACCATATGTACGTTGTGTAAGCAATATGCTTGTTGAACAAAGGATAGTAATAAAACTATAGCTAAAGCGTCAGCGTTCCCACGCTTAAATATCGTGAAGGAGTTAAGTTCAATCCGAATACGAGCATTTACATTCGAATTATGAAACTCCTGAAATTGATTAATTTTATTAATTAGAATCCTAGCAGATTTCAATTCAGTTACTTAAATAGCATATTTTACTTACTGATATAATTAAAATACTTCTGGAAAATATGTTAAGGTTGCGTTAAACGTTTAACAAGCAGTGGTTAAGGTGAACAAAGGCAAGGTTGCGTTGAGCGTTTAACGCCCCTGGTAATGGAAGGAGCAAGAGCTACACAGCAAGTGTTGATGGCTTATAGCACAAACTGTCACCGACATTCCTCCTTTCCGTACTCACCGCCCGTATCAAACCAAATTTGTCAAAAGTTATGCCCGTAGTTGCAACGCAGAAATCAGTTGTTCTCTTTTGTTTTCATTTTACCAATGTTGTTATTGTTCTATTTGTAAACACGATTTCTCACACATTTAGTTTTTTAGTTATAATTTTTCATAATGTAAAATCTCAAAACTAAAATCCAACTATTAAAAATAGTTTATTATATATATTTATAGTTATTTTAAGAATATTTCAAATAAATTCAAGTTGCAAGAGATTGCTCTCTCAGTCTCAGCTCACTCGTTTCTACGGAAAAAATTCCAATTTTTGCGGATATCCTACCATACGGTCTGTTGAAGTGGAAGGTAGAAGCAATGCTGACTGTTCATTTATATTGCGCTCTCATAAAATAGGTCGTATCAGCTGATTCGGTCCACGGTTTTGCGTCAGTGACTGTTTGTGCCATTAGTGTAATTGTGTGTAGTTTTGTAATAAATTCAGTTTTAGAATCAGTATGTTAATTTTAATACTTAGTTTGATATTTCATACGAAATATTTCGGAGTGTAATGATAGTGTGTGGTGATTTTGTGATTTGAATAGTAGTAATTAAAATGAGTGAAAAGGAGGCTAAATGAGACGCAGTGGAGTCGAGATTATGTGAAGGTACGTTACTGTTGATTCGGGAATTGTTTATTACGTGTTTAAATTTACATAATCGCAGAAAACATATTTTCATTCTCCACAATAATAACAATAATTTTTCTCAAATAGAATCCAAGGACAAAAGGAGGGACCACTACTGATGCAGTTTTTGACAGAAAAATTAATAAAATAAAACTTAAATATTTCAAATATTATTTTAGCTATCATAATCCACTTTTAAATATTATTAATATGAATATAGCGCCCACTTAAAATGAGAATGAAATCGAAAAAATTTGTTTGTCGAAAAAAATTAAAATTTGTGTTTGCCAAAAATATTGTGCTAACATAACATTGATTTCAATCGTTTCATGTTTCCAATTTGCCATCATGATGGAGGGTCTTCATGCACCCTGTTTTTTTTTAAATCGAATTTACTTTGAAAACATTTAAATAAGTATGAATTTATGTGTATTTATATTTTTACGCAAATATATAATGTATGTACTAGAGCTGCAAAACAATCGATGGGATTGATATTTTTATTTTCGTCTCACTATCGATAGTTTAGTTTGACTTAACTAGACTTACCAACAGTTTTCATTAAATTGCGAAACTAACTTAACTTAATAGAGCTACATAATAATATAGTCTAGTAATACAATGGAAGGAATTAGCGCGGAAACTAACACATACACACAGTGCAACTCATAAGCCCAATGCGTAAGAAAGGGATGAACGATCACACCCACAATCTCAGATAGCGCTCTTGGGTAATTAATCGGTGATTTAATCGATAGGTGACTTACAGGGATGGTAGCATCAAATCCATCTTTTCAATCTTGTTGTGCATACTTATATGGTTTCAAATTAGTAAGACAATTTTGAAAATAATATACAAATTATTAAATTTAACTATTTTTTACACTTTAATTAGGTGTTGGATGCGTTAGAGGAAATGTTGCAGAAATATTTACAATTAGGTAAGAATTTTTATTGTTCTGAAATGCCGGCTGCACATAACGTTAGTTATTTATACATGGAGCCGCAATTTAGAATTTTTGACTCCATGGTTTTCAAGTAGTTTTTTAATAAGAATTAAGAACTATAGGAAAATAAACATTGTAAAGTAACCTCCATATTATTTAGTAGTCCTGATTTTGGAGAATTATTATTTTGTTGTGATCGAATATCACAATATATACATACATATATGATACATACTCATACCCAGAGGCATTAGTCTGCCAACAGTGCATATAAACGAATATCACGTTCATTAATTTTAATTTTGCAGAGTCGGAGATAATGTTTAGCCAGGCTGGATTTCTAATATCTGATAGGACAAAAACTAAAGGCTAAAAATGTCAGCAAATTAATATTTTTAACGTATTTTAAGTATACATTACTTAATCTCATATTACTTTAGGAAATGTATAAAAGTGCAGCTTTTATAACTCGTCAGCTCTCAGAGGAATTTATAGTTTACCATTATTGTCCATGTTTTGTTTTATAGATAAATTCAAAGGTTATTTCAAAAAAGTGTACAAAGCCAAGAATTTTGCTTGGTTCCCTTATAGAGTGGTGTAGTTCGTTGAGTTCCCTGATAGGGTGGTGAAATTTCATCTTCGAACTTGCGCACGTTTTCGATGTTTCCTCATAATAATTTACATTTTAGAACAGCTAACATTTGCGTCTTCTGTGTTCATTAACTATATCTGTTTATAACCTTTTCCCCGTTTCGCACATTGCTTGGTGTATTTCTCTCTTACGAACTTATATTTTTCCATGTTCCCTCATGTGAAACCAGAGAACTTAGAAGAACATTTACATTCTGTGCTCGAACTACAAACAGCACCACGCATATTATTGAACGAGGAATGTCAGAGCTATCATCTTTACTTGTTTCGAATGATCAATGTTTATATATGTGAATATTCTCGAAATTGCCTTTCCTTCATGCGCATGTCCAAATATTTATATTTGTATATACATATGTGCACATACATATGTCCCTCACTCAATATGCCATTTGTAAAAAATTGAACATTCGCAGAAGCGACACAAAAAAACGCAGCGCGCCATCATTGACCTATAAGATTCGAACAAGCTTGAGACATATTTGATATTACGACGACAATAAATGCATAAATAAGGAATGCGCGTCTACTACAAAGCAAAGTGCGTTCGTTCATAACTCTTCGTCTCGCTCTGTTTTCTGTGCGTCTCGTCAAAAACATTTTTTTTCATATAGAATAATAAAATTGAACAAACCGGCCAATATTTCAATTTTACAATTTACAAACACTACTGAAAAGCTTTTCTACCATCCCCTCGCTTTTGCATGTTGCCCACAAGGTGCTTCCTCACGGCGATGATAAAAATCAAAAACTGAAGAATTTTTCTGATGTTCTGTTCAGAAAGGAAAATTGGCAAGAATGTCTATTAACGACATAAAATATTATACACTGGCCAAAGAAAGTATTCGACATATGCATTTTTCTATTTATTTTTGAAATATTCCTTAATATAAACTAATAAAAGATTAAAAATCAGTGTTTTTTGAAGCAATAATTTATTTAGTTTGTAACTTGATGGCTTTTATGATAATAAAAAAAACAAAACTAACCAATAAAGCACAAAAACTAAATTACCCCGAAAATTTAAGCAAAAAAAATATTCGACAATTACGCAAAAGAGCGAATTCCAATGATTAACGGTAAAAAATAACGATCGGTTTGAATATTTTGCTTGACATTGTTTTGCAGCAATCAATTTTAAAGCGATATTTAAAGTAAATAAGTGAAGTAATAAACATGGGCCGTAAAAATAAAGAAGTGTCTGAAGAAATAAAAAATTGTATCGTAAAGTACTTTAAAATTGGATTAACCGAAAGCAAAATAGCCGAATTAGTTGATAGGCCACGTACAACTATTCATTATATTATTAAAAAATGGAAAGATAAGAAGTCGGTTGAAAATAATCCAAGGTGTGGTCGACCTAAGGTCTTTTGTAAAACAGACAAACGTTGGTTGGTTCGCCAGGTCAAAAAAGAACCAAAAACAAATGCCACGGTTCTCTCCAAAAATGTTAAAGAAAGCCTAAATATAGATGTGGCACACCAAACCATTCGAAATTATTTGAAAATTAATGACTACAGGGGAAGAGTTGCGCGCAAAAAGCCACATATCTCTAAAAAAAATTGATTGGAAAGATTAAGCTTTGCATAAACGTACATAAACAAGCCCGCTGAATTTTAGAGTAATGTGATCTTTGCAGATGAGAGCAAATTTAATCTTTTTGGATGTGATGGCAAAGTAATTGTGTACAAGAAACCCAATACAGAGCTGGAAGAGCGAAATACAGTGGCAACTGTGAAACACGGAGGTGGAGGCGTTATGAATTGGGGGTGTATGTCGGCAGCAGGAGTTGGAAAAATAGAACCAATTCGCCAAATCATGGACCACATGTAATATATTGGTATTTTGAAGAGAAACTTGCGAACTAGTGCAGAAAATCTCGGAATCGG